AGCAGAAGTCTGGATAATCCAGAACCCAAGGAAGAATGGGCAGGAGAGAGAAAACAACTCCTCCCAGGGGGAAAGAAATACCTAGATAAAAAATTAACTAATTACTGAGGGTCCCTAACCCCGATTCCATGCAATGCTTCTAACCTACTACTCCGAATGTTTAAACACAGCAAGGACAAAGGTAATCATAGGTTTGATCAATAAACTATAATTGAAGGACGGCATTGCATGAAACTGCCTTTTGTAAACTTCCCCACACGTGACTTCAGAAAACACAAAAGGACCGAAATGCTCAGTTTAATGAATTTCCACAATTCCTTCCGTGGCTCCGTTTCTCTCTTATTAGGGCCAAGCCAGAAAAATGAATAATTTATCCAGTCACAGGAAAATCCCTCCCATGATTAATATTAATAATTTAAAACCCCTCACATTAAGAAAACTAGCTTAGCAGTTTATTCCCTGAAAGGCTAACTTTTTAGAGGCGGGGAGTTCCTTGAGGTTTTAGAGATATTATTTTACACAATTATAATCCATTCAATTTAAAAGTAGTTTTCAATATCCCGTCCTACGGAACACTAGCTAGTTGTTTAATCCCAAATGAAATGAAACCCACAATACATTTTCCAGCTTGGCTAGAGTTTCAGAGTGAAGATCCTAAAATGGAAAAAAAAAAGCCCATGCTCCACAGTTTATTTCATTTTTCTTTCCAAACATGCCAAGCACCTACCGGATTTCTTCCGCAGGGAAAAACAATCACACGCTATTAATCTGCAAGCAAACCAGGGCTGAAATAATACTAAAATAAGATCAACATCCCCAAAAGCTGAAAAAAGGAAGAAATTAAATTTTATTTTTTTTAGGCATTTGCGGCAGGCGGATTGGAAAAAAGTATTAATTCGGACAATCTCAGTGTGATTGTGCACCCACAACGCACAACGTGGAGAAAGAATCAAAAGCGAAACATGGCAAATGATTAAAAAGACATTTCTGGATGCAAAACAGGTCAGATAATCACATGGGAAGGGAAAGGAGTCAATAACATCCATCGGGATGGAAACCACAAAGATTCCAATGTCACAAAACAACAGTTCGCGACAAATTGCAAGAAAAGGGCCGGATTGTCAGTGCCAGCGCAACTTTGAATGGCCACTAAATGAATGGTCATAAGTCCAGGACTACCCTGACTCTAGAGACACTGATCGGGTTTGACTGTTTCAATGGCCAAACTGAATAACAGAGTTGGAAGGGACCTTGGAGGTCTTCTAGTCCAACCCCCTGCCTAGGCAGG